GTCATACGCGCCTTTTTGACACATTCTGACTTCCCGCAATAGAGTGTAGAGCTTCATTTACTCTATTTTCTATGTTTACTCGTCGTTCTATATCCTTGCCATATCTACCATCCCTGCTAAATACACATCCCAAATACACAAACTCATCCACTTGCTCAACTAATTCCCCTTCTATTCTATTCTTATTTTACATATTGTTTTACTTTCTTTTCTTTCAAAAACCATCACTTTCGTCTTAGTAGTAAGAACCGAACTTCTCTAAGTAAATTAGTCTATTGAGTATATTACAAGTTAATTCAAAGAGTGTTTGGTTTAATAACATTAAATAATTATGGAAGGTGTATTAAGTTCACCGAAATCATTCTGATTCGTCGGGAGTACGGACTACGCAAGTTTAAGTGCCAATTGGAAAAAATGAAGGAAGAGCTAAGAAATTTATACAAAGTCATGTGTAATAATAACGAAGAAAGTGGCATGTACTTGGCGACCAGTACCGATATATTCTAGACCAAAACAACGATTCACTTTTATAATACACTACCGTGGAATCTATCTTAAAAATATTGGATGGACATTTTAATATAAAACCTAATGTAACAGTGGAATGACACCGATTTTTTACAAGAAACCAGAAGGAAAATGAGAACATAGAACAATATGTTTTCGACTTTCGAAAATTCGCTCAAACATGCGAATTCGGGGCCTTAAGGCTGGGTGTTCCAAGTCGTCCGAGTCGTCGCAATGATCGAGTCGGTTCGCGCATATGATCGTGATTTTTACAAAATAATCACAAAAATATTGTTTTAAAGTTGTAAACAAATACTCGTATTTATACAATGAGACACAATGAGGAGTATCGGGGACACAGGTGACACAGTGACATCGTGTCATAGATGATATTATTTTCGTTTATGAATGGGTATGTTCATAACATGCTCTCGCTGGGGCTGAAGGCTTCAACAGGTAGTAGGGAGCGGGCAGATGTTGTTGTATGTACGTGTAATGGTACCTTCTTCATGTGTAGTTCGGTGACCCTGTCGACACCGTCACCTCCGTGGAAACAGTGTTGGCAGATCCGAGTATACTCGAGTGACTCGGCCCATGATCCATAAAAGTGAAGGTTAGTCTCTTACCAGGACAGGAGATTCAACTTGTAGCTTGCCTGCAGAATGTGACCACTTGGTTTTAGTCTGCAGAGGAGAATAGATATAAACATTTGGATAACGCTGCCAAATATGTTGCCGGATGTTTTCAATTCTCTTGTATCGTTGGAGATGATTAAGGTTTTTCTCCATTAGGTTTCGATGAAAAGAGAAAGGAAGGAAAGGGCGTATCTGTTGATAGAGGGGTGAGTGGGCGAGAGTTTAGAGTCCCTCTATATATGCCAAACACGTAGCCATCTCTTCATGATTGTAATGAGTTAAAGAGAGGCCCTACTTAAATGATGTTTAACTGACTTAACTGCTGCTTCCCATATACCGCCAAAATGAGAACCATACACAGGGATAGTTTTAATACCTTGGTCAAATAACTGAAATTGCAAATATTCTTTATTGTCTGAGAAATCGAGCAAGGTCCATTATATGATCCGACAAAGGTAGTGGAGTTATCTGAATATATTGTCGCCGGTTTCCCTCGACGTGATATGAAGCGGTTCAAAATCATCGTAAATGACTCCTTAGTGGGTTAAAAGCTCGAGATGCACCACCTTAACCGAAAAAAATATAAGTAAGCAAATGTAAGGCTTTATCAGTCGCCCTCCTACCCTTAAGGTCAAGTAGAAGCACTCGGCCTGTTGCAAGAAATGGATATTCTAGTTGTGTTTGTGTGTTGTACCTTGAATCGATGACAACGCATACAAGAGCGAACAATTTTCATTGCCAGATTAATATTTCCGTTTTATATTGCTTAAAAGAAGTTGAGGACATGTATGAGTATTTTACGTAAGCTGAAAAGAATTTTTGTGAAATAATGTTTAGCACAGAGAAGTATGCGATGTTTAATATCGTATCCGTAGCAATGATTTTTTTAAATGATCGCCTACTCTTATAAGATCAGTGTTTAAAAACGGTCATAATGATTTTAGTTTGCTATTTATATAGGTAGCTTGAGATGATTTTAAGGCGAAATAATCTTCGGAAAACATTTCTCTTTGAGCATGTCGTAAGGTTTTATCGCGGGATGATTGTAACTCACTAAAATTAAGTGATTTATGAGTGTTGTTTTTATGTCTGTAATGGTAATTGAATTTATTTACGTATACAAGAGCTCTTATTATTTAATCAAAGTTTCTGTTCTTATGTAATAAGGTAAACAACTTCATTTTGATTGACATTTTTATTGCAAGAGTTGTGTGTATGTGTAATTAACTAATTGTCTTTCTATGTATTTCTGGAAATGTTATGTATTCTTGATGTAAAAAGTCTGGCACTTACCACCACAATTTAGCTGTGCTGATAGAGTCAGCCTTCTGCCCGCGGGAGACAAGGTATGCAGGTTTAGACTTTAACGGCACATAGCTCCATGTGTGCCCGTTTATACTCTCTTGTATCCCGCTAAATTTGTTTCGAATAAACGGTATTAGTTGAGTAAAAGGATTAGATATCCACTCCAGCACCATAGTAGGGTCACACCTGAAATAAAAAATAATGGTGATGAAACTTTCTTGAAAGTGCAAAGGCTATTACCACACTACTCGATCGATCGTCGATCGATTTTATTCATTGACATCGATCGATGTTGATAAATTGGTATGGTAGCTTTAGCTGATTGACGGATATTTACTGGTCGATAAAACGTTCAATCATCGATCGACGTCGATCGGCAATTAATCGATGTGGTTGTGGGCTCATCATCAGTATCTTTCAAAATGCGGTCGGTGGTGCGAGGCGGGTACTCGAATAATCAAGCAGCTCGATCGACGTTCGCCAATCCATTCCACCATCAATCGATCGGTATGGTAGAAATTATCGATCGACGTCGTCTAATCCATTCCACCATCGATCGATTCCATTGATCGATAATCGGTCAATTGGTGTGGTAACACCCTTAATTACCTTTTTCCAAAGTCTTGTGGCCAGTAATGCGGCGGGGTTATTTCGTTTATACACCCTAAGAAATCCACCCTAGGGTAAATAAGTCAAGGCCCCACTTTGCCGATTTTCTGCCCACACTTGACATCTCCCTTTTTCTTTCCTGGGCCAAACTTTTAATTCAACTTTATTTACCTTCGTGTCTGGTCTAGCTCGTGGTTCATTCTTTAAGTCAAAGTATTTAGTACAAAAGTGAATAAATAAAAAAAAACACAGTGCGTACATCAGCTGTATCGTCTTCAAAAGCAGTGATATAAGAATTTATGAATGAAGCCTTAAAATTGCGAGCTGTTTCTACCATAGACTTACTGTTAGAGTACTTTTATATACCGACCAATACTGACAGTTAGAACTACGTCAAAACCAAAGAGTATCACTTCGTTTAGTCGGAATTAGTATTCGAAAACCACTCTAATTTTTGAGCTCTACATGTGTAACTTAAATACCATTTCATAAAAATAATTGAAAGTTAAACAATAGAATGTCATACATTTAAAATTAGGATTTATAGTTTTAATTAAAAAAAAAAACTTTTAATCATAAATCAAATGCAGGCATAATTTTAACTCAAAGTGGCTACTCCGTTAAAACGGCAGCTTCATTCTTTTTAATCCCTACTATGTTATGATCCCATTTTCCTATAATGCAAAAATATTTAATGCTACATGACACTTGATTTAGTCTGAAACTGAACTGAACGTTATGATTTACGAGATGTTTGAATAAAGGTCTCTACCCACTACAGCGTTCCAAAGTATGACCGTTAACGTTTTGGCACAAACAAATTAAATTTTTCTTGGTAATTAGTAATGTCTGAAAGAGGCGTTTTTCTGAACAAAATGAGCTACAACCGATGTAATGGGCATCAAGTCGTACACATATTAAACGGGAATGATACGCTCACTGAAAGTTTAAGAAGTATACAGGTATCATACATTATTAATAGGTACGGCCTAGTAGCCATAGTAGTTATTGCCATGTTTGTTTCGGACCTGATACCTATGTTCATAGCACGTTCATAATAAAGGCCATTGTACTGGGCCTCTATGAGTAGGCCGATGTCCTACGCAGGAGCAAAAGTTATTGTTGTGAGCATTATTTATATTAAATTGATTTTTGTTTGATTTTTTTTTGTTTTGATTGATTGCTTTTTTTAATAGGATAATGGTGACAAACGAGCACATAGTCCACCTGATGGTAAGTAGTTGCTGTGGCCCATAGACATCTACATCCATCCTCAACTACGAATCAAAACGCAGATACGTTGACATCCGAGAGGACTAAGATAGAATGCCTCGTTTCCAGTAAAAGAGGTTTCTGGTTCTCTACAATCACCATACGAAACAGCAGCGCAGCGTTAAGCTGCTATTTTACGCTGGTATTCTGTGAGAGCGTGGTCCTTCCCCGGTCGAGCCGATCCATTCATGCTACAACTATACTACTGATATAGCTGTAGTTAGGCTCTACCACGTATAAAAGTGTTAGTGCTAGTTTTTGAATGAACATACGCGGTTACAACGCGTTTAGTCGGCTGCACAAAGTGGTTTGGTTACGTCAAGTGGTATGCACGGAACGTATCGTTACATGCCAAATATTCTCGCCATGAATACATTTCATTGTCGGTCCGATCATGGCACCCTATGGTGTTGGTCAGTGATGGAAAGGTCTAGTGCACGTTGTTAGATATTAATTTGTCCAAAGATATTTTTTGCACGTGCCGCTACGGTCACGTGATGGAACGTTGTAGTGGGTTGAGTCTTTAACGGTGATCTTCCCTATACGTACTCGTATCTATAATACATATTATAAAAGATTCGTTTGTTTTAAAACATTATTAAGTCTCATTCGAAGGGGAGGATTATTATTTCACATATTGTTATCATGTTTTCTAACCGTCTATTAAATATTCTGTCCAGTGTATTCCTGATAGTAAATGGGGAAATAGGTGCAAATTCGATAAATGTTTTTTGTCCACATTATAGAAATGGACCTAAATTGAATGTGTATGATTTAGTTGGAAGTTGGATTACAGTTTATACCCGACCAAAAGCGCTAAATTGTTATATGCTTAATATAAGGGCTATTACGGACTTGGTAAGTATAGATATGTATAGGTACAAAATTTATTTTCTTTATGTTTTATATTATAATGACGGTCATTAAATAAAATACAAATAAGTAAAGTTAAAATTAGACGTGATATATTGTTTTTAATTTTAATTTTCTCGCATACTTACGTAGGAACGTGAAAAAAACTTTTTGAAGTATGGAAACTTTAGTAGTCGAGTGGACTGGAGCAATTGTTATTTAGAAGTGGAGTCTCGAATGGGAAAGCATTATTTTCAAGGCGACGGCAGTGAATCCGGTGTTCTTGAAAACATAATTATTTTACAAACGGACGATGGTAAGTCTGAAGTAACGTTTGTTAGTAAGAAATTGTGCAGGAAAAAAAAAAAACATCAAATAGTTGATTGCATTATTAACGTTATTTAAAATCAGTCAAGCTCTAAAAGGAAATGTTTGTGACTCAAGATACATTCATATTGCTTCATTTTTCTATCTACCTATATATAAAGAAAATTGAAGTGCCTCTCTGTAATATTTAAGTAACTGGCTTTTATTAAGTTCATGGGGGTTATTTGCTTGCTATTAAAACATAAATTACCATTTTTTAAATTTTTCTGTCTATCTGTCCGGGCTAATCTTCGGAAAGGCTGAACTGATTGTGATGCAACTATACTTACAGATAAAGAGCCAGGAGGGATCTAGGTTTATCCGAAAAATTTGAAGGATTTTTTTTTGATTTTTCAGTATCTCAAATCTAAATAACGACACATTAAAATATTCTATTTAGGCGAAGCCGGGGCGGGTCGCTAGTCTTCTATCCAAATAAGAAGATATCCTGACTGACTCATCTATCAACGCATAGCTGAAACCACTAAACCTAGAAATCTAATATTTGGTCTATAGTTGCCTTTTGTAAGAAGGGATTTCAGAAAATTCAGTTTGTATGAGACCTTTTATTTTAAAGCGCGATTGACTCAAAACTCACTGAAAATACTCTGTAAATAAAATAAATTGATATGGATTATTTACTTCAACCTCGAAGAGGTTGAAATTGGTAAATCCAGTTGTGTATGCCTTAAGCGCATTAAAAAAAAATAACGTGATTATACTTAATTTTTTTAAGTAGTTTAAATACACACAAGTTTTCACTAATAACCTTATAACTACACTTCCAATTTTCTGATATCTTTATGCCAAACTTCAATTAAAAACAAAGTTTGGAAAATCCAAAAGTGCACGACTCACAATGCCCAAAAATAGTGAAACAATTAAAAAAATCGTAGATTGTAGTTCTATTTTGTCAATAAGTTCCAGTAGCAGTTAACGAAGTACACTTTGAAGTCAGTCCGTCAAGTCCGGAACTGAGGTCTATTCTATATCTATTATATTCTATAACTAACAAAACTAGGCACATCTAGTTCTCCTCGTCGTCCCCGACGAGAAGAACTAGATGTAGATGACACTTTCAAGTTACTCTATCAAGTCCGCAGGTAAGGTCTCATCATAACTAACAAAACGAGGCGAAATGCGGCACATCTAGTTCTCCCCGTCGGGGAGTTCCAGTAGCAGTCATCAAAGTAAAGTTTCAAGTCATTCTATCAAGTCCGGAGGTAAGGTCTCATCAAAACTAAAAAAACGGGACCAAACTCGGCACATCTATATCTCCTCGTCGAAGAGTTCCAGCAGCAGTCATCAAAGTACACTTTCAAGTCACTCTATCAAGGCCGCAAGTAAGGTCTCATCATAACTAACAAAACGAGGCGAAATGCGGCACATCTAGTTCTCCCCGTCGGGGAGTTCCAGTAGCAGTCATCAAAGTACACTTTCAAGTCACTCTATCAAGTCCGGAGGTAAGGTCTCATAATAACTAACAAAACGGGACCAAACTCGGCACATCTATATCTCCTCGTCGAAGAGTTTCAGTAGCAGTCATCAAAGTACACTTTCTAGTCACTATCAAATCCGGAGGTAAGGTCTCATCATAACTAACAAAACGAGCCCAAACTCGGCGTATCTAGTTCTTCTCACCTTCTTTCTGCAAACTTTTTGTTAATGAGAATTTACCAACGTCCGAAAAAGATCAAATTGTTAGCAAATTTAACTCCTTAGCCCCAAATATAAAGATAATTAACAGAAAATCGCTTCGCCTTCTAGGTGCTCTTATTCTGGATGAGTCCTTTCAATGCTTTGTCAGTGTATTGATTTTAAAATTTGAGGAGTCATCCAGTCGTCTGAAAGAAATTAGCCCACACATGGCATATGCCTTACTAAAATTTTGTCTTTTTGTGTCAAAATTTGTTCTGTGGTGTTCAATTCTTTGGATGCATGTCCTATTTTTAAATCGTCTCGATGATATGATTAGAAAAACTATGATTGAAATTCTACATTGTCAATTAAATGAAAATTCCTGGGTTCAAGCCACACTTCCCGTTAGAGTTGGTGGTCTAGGCATCCGAAGAGTTTCCAGCGTAGTATTTCCAGCTTTCTTGTTTTCAGTTCATAGCACGTTAGACAGTCAGACCTCATTGGAACAATTATTAACCCATCACTCGGTGATGTAGAGGTCTCCTGCTCGGCTGAGGCCAAAGAAGCATGGAGCAATAAGACAGGACCGGACCAGGTTTTTCCCACAAACTCAGCTTCGCAGAGCTTTTGGGATGAGCCGCTCAGTATCCAGGTTCAAAAAAAAAAAAACCTTTTAGAAAGCATCTGAGGAAAAGGAGTCGAGCTACTGGTTGATTGCACTGTCCTCGTCAAATATCTGAACACTCTTGGATAGTACTACTTTCTCTTTTGCTCTCAGCCTGAGATTAGGTTTAAAAACCAATAAGCTCCATCGCTGTCGCTGTGGTAAAGAGGTCGACATTTTCGGACACCATGGCCTCGCATGCCAGTGGAGCACTGGTCACATCCCTTGCCATGCAGCCATTAATGACGTCATTCGACCGGCCTTAACCAGTGCCAAAGTAGCTGCAATTTTAGAGCCAAGCGGTATATTGTGGGACGATGGTAAGAGGCCTGATGGAATGACGCTTATTTCATGGAAAAATGGGTGCTCCTTAGTATGGGATGCGACTTGTGTTGACACATTAGCGCCATAACATTTCGCGGCAACTGCACAGAAGGCAGGCGCGGCTGCTGCTGTTGCCGAGTCTAACAAGCGGAGCAAATATGCAACCCTCGGAGAGAGATACGTGTGGGTGCCGTTTGTTATACAAAACGCTGGGGCCGTGGAGTCCTGAAGCAAGGCGTTTGTACAGAGATATCTCATCACGCCTTGTCAATATCTCTGGTGACCCAAAAGCTGGCAGATATTTTGGTCAGCGGATCAACCTCGCAATACAGCGAGGCAACTCATCCAGTCTTTTGGGCACACTACTAACAGACGGCGGCGATTGAGCAAGTATTTTTTACTTAAATTAAGCTTTACATACCGTATAATTTTGTATAACACTTTTTCAGGCAGGAGACAATTTAATCCCCGGGGAAAGGAGAAAATGTTTATCGCCTCGCTTAGTTTTATTCACCCTTCGAGCATGGGCACACCGGTGAATATAATATCCACAGTAGATAAATTGGGAGATAGACTTAGACTTAAATATATTTTTGAAATGAATATAAACTTAAACCCACGTCCAATGAACTAGGATAGAATTGTCCCTTTCAAATGTCAAAAAAATCATAATTTTTTTCTTCATTTGGCTCCATGCTGCGGACGGGGAACTTATGTCTCGTTATTTCAAACGGGAATATACTTCTCCCCGTTGCCGTACTTTGGCATAGGAACAAGATAATTTTATCTCTTGTCAGTGAATATAATCGGGGGATAACGTTTTTGTCCCCAGCCCATGCTAGCGGTGCAGGAGGATGCCCATTATCTCTTTTATTTCCCATAGTCGCTAACATAACATAATATGATAAGATAATTGACAATTTATCAAAAACTAGCGAGCCGCCCTGGCTTCGCACGGGTGATTTCTGGATGTCGACAATAGCACCACCTACCGGGGCCAATTGTGAATCGTTCACCTCATCCGGGGATCCAAACACGCACAAAAAATTCATCAAAATCGATCCAGCTGTTTTCGAGTTTTAACGAGACATTACGGAGGTTACACGTTTCATTCTGACATCAATCATAGATTGAACTGACGCCAGAATGAGCGTGTAACCTCCGTCTAAAGGAGCTATAGATTAAAAGTTTAATTTTATTTTTATTGTTAACGTGCCAAAAAGAATATTCAAGTTTTATAGCTGTAGTTTGAAAATGTGATTTTTTTAAATCACTATATCTCTGGAACCATAAGGCCTAAACTCTAGAGACTTGAAATTTGGTAGGAACATTCCTTTCGCCGAGTAGAGATCAGCTAAGAACGTATTTTACGAAATTCTACCCGAAAGGGGAGTTGCGGAAGCGTTAATTTAAAATAAAATCACATTAACCCCAGAGAGATATCGGGATAAGTCAGTACATAGGTGGAAATGTATATGTATACGAGTATAATAAGAGATAAGAGAATACAACATAACATATTGAAAATTTAATTTTGCAATATCTGCCTAATTTTTGCTAAGACCATGTTGCTCGAATAGTACAAATGATTTACAATTTGCGAACTTCGTCGCTAGATATTAAATGTATTTTCATTTTATTCACAGAGAAATATACACTACACGAGCAGAGTGCGGATCAGTGGACGATCTATGGGAGGCGCGGCAGCGAGTTGGCAGTGATGCGAGATTGTGCGGGTAAAGCGATTGCTGTGTTTGCTCGCATCCCCTATTGGCCCACGCCGCATCAGCTTTACGCAACACTACATCGCAGCGGTGTTAATGCACTAAATTTAGACCGTGTTCTTTGTGAACCTAATAGAATTTATTAACTCAATAGATATGTAAATTATTATTTTAGAGAAATTTTGATTAATATACTGTTAGAAATTATTCTTAATATTATTAAATATTTAAATAGAATAATATTTCTCGGCACTTGCTTTATATTATGAAATATTCATGGAACAAAGTAAACAGAACAAATAATATGAAAAACAATAGCTGCTACCGCACAGATTATGGTCTATTTTATATTAATGGTTGGTACAAAATTTATTGTAGAAACAGCTTGGATGCGACCACCTCATTCTCATGGGTTACGAGTATTACGAGTATAAACCATATATTCATTTATACTATAATAACCCTTTTTATACAGTTTCAACTTAACAAAACATTTAAACTTGGTAATAGAGAGAGCCTGTACACTTTCCGGGACCTTGTTGTAATAGCGTATACATTGCCTCAAGAATGAATTACTGACTCTGCGGAGTCGAGAAACTGGTATCACTAGCTTGTGTTTGTTCCTAGTGTTTACAGAATGTATATCACTTTTTTTACTAAAAATTTCTTAGCTTTTGTAAACATACATTAAATTTTCGTAAATACGCACGTTAAACTGCAGTTGTACAAATCAGCTTTTATTTATTTTCTTTTTGTTTGTTTAACTTTTTGTAACACAACGCATGCTGTGATTGCCTATAATTATAAGAGCAGTTGATCATGTAAAATTTATATTACTGTTATGTAACCAAACATTTATTGCTGTTTCTTATGTTGGCAATCCAAATAAAAAAAAATATATGCTGAGAGGCCAAAGTTAATATATTTATTTCTTTAAATTTTTCTCTAAGAGACTCTCTCGGTTTGAGGTTGTAAATAGCTCTAATGGCCCTGTTCTGTAAAACAAAAATAGTTTCTGAATCCCATAAAATGAAAAATTTCAAAAATGGCAAAATCCCATAAAACATTATGCTATGGAAATAACTGAAATAAACTAATCTAGCTGTCTCGACATTAGTGAGACCTCTAATCTTTTTTACAGCAAAGGCTGTAAAACTTAGTCTACTTGTTAGTTTGGATATATGGGGGCCCCACTGAAGCTTTGCGTCGAGAGTGATGCCAAGAAAAACAGTGGATGCAACAGGGCTCAGTTCTTTCCCATTTATAACACATTGATACTCAGATTTTAAACATTCGTCGTTGTAAATTTAATAGATTAAGTTTTATTTCCGTTTAAATATAGATTATTAACGTTAAACAAATATAATTGCTGGCTAATTTACAAGGTGAGGTAAGTCATTAATATACACCAGAAACAGAAATGGGCCGAGAATCGAGCCCTGGGGGACACCAATTAGTACAGGTGACCCGGAAGAACTTTTAACATTGATAATAACCTTCTGCTTTCTATTACTTAAATATGAAATTATAAGTTTAAGCGCTGTGTTCTTGACACCATAGTACTGTTGCTTCCTGATTAATGTCTCATGGTGAACACAGTCGAAGGCCTTGGAAAGGTCACAAAATATACCCAAAGCATCCTCTGAATTCTCCCATGCACAAAAAATATGTTTAATAAGCTCAACTCCAGCGTCAGTTGTCGAGCGACCCCTTGTAAAACCGAATTGATTTTTATGTAGCAATTTATTAATATTAAAGAAACTTAACATCTGATCTAAATTAATTTTTTCAAAAATTTTACTTAATGGTGGTAGTACAGAAATTGGTCTAAAATTAGCGGGGTCTAATGTACTACCAGATTTAAATATAGGTATGACTTTACTATGTTTTATTAAATCAGGAAACACACCAGATTCGACGCTTATATTAAATATAGTGGCTAGATAAGGCGCTAATATATCTATGTGCTAATATAGATATCTTTTGGCAGTACTCTATGGAATTTAAAAGTATTTGAACAAGCCTTTACATTTTGTTTAAGCAATGATTCGGCGACAGTAGGAGAAAAATTTAATGATTTAGTTGTCAAAAAAGGAACATCAGTAAAATGTTTCTCAAAAGCCATAGCAACTTCATGATCAGATCGAGTTAAATTATTGTTAATATTCAATTGAAAACCCGAGGTGCGCGGTTTGACCTTGCCCGTTTCACTATTTATTATTTTCCAGGTCATTTTAATTTTGTTAGATGCAGTTTTAATTTTGTTACTCAAATGTAAAGCCTTAGCTGTGGAGCACACTTTTTTAAATATTTAGAATATGTTTTACATAATCTCTAAATATAACACTACTATTATATGATCTTTCCTTATAAAGCTCATATAACTTTCGCCTACTTTTATAAATTCCTACTGTCGCCCATTCATTAAATGATTTGCGACTGTTAAAGAGAAAGTTTTAGAAGTAAATATCCTACTAAATTCACAAGTTATAATTTTAAATAACGTACCATACAAATAATTAGCACTGTTTTTAAATGAAAGTGATGGAAGTCTTTTTATTATATTACTTCTAAACCTCTCCAAACGATGTTCATTTATTGGAACAAACACAACTTTCTCATTTTTCTGTTTCTTGTGTATGTAAAGCAATGATACCAACTGTCCACAGTGATGTGAACTTAAATTTTGAATAATTGATTTATGCAAGGGCTTAACATCTGTAAAAATGTTTTCTATACTGGTTGCACTAGGCCCAGCAGTACGTGTTGGTTCTAAGAATAAATTAACAAGATTATACGATTTAAACAATGAGCTAAACTTAATACTAATGGCAGAAGTTTCAAGGCGATTGATGTTAAAGTCTCCACATATTACAACAGACTTGTTCTGTTTACTAAGTTTGAGCAAAACTTCTTCCACAATCCTTTCAAAATAGTCATAAGAAGCACATGGGGGTCTGTAAACACCTACAACAATGAGGTGCTCGAGCTCGATACAAGTCATTTCTACAGTTCGCTCAACAGAGTGGCTCACTATATCCTTACGTTCTTTATATAATAATGATTTATGTGCTAGTATTAAGCAGCCACCACGTAAACTTTTTTCCCTATTGAAGGAACTGACCACATGGTGATTTCTGAAATTAAACATGAAATTATATTCTTTTAGCCAATGTTCAGTAATACAAAGGATATGTATGTTGTTACTATTTAAAAATAATTCAACTTCTAATTCTTTGTCCATCATGCCTTGTATATTTTGATGCACCAGGTGTAAACAGTTTTTATTACTTATTTGTGGGCTGCATTCAAAGTTAATTAAACTATTATTATTGCTAGAGTTTGCCTCTATTGTCGCGTTTACTAATTTAAATAAGTTGGAACTGCTTCCAAATTAAATGTCAAATGATTATCATGCTCAATAAAAGCAGTCTTGGTAGCCAAAAACTTGGCTGAGTTAAAAAGTAAATTATAAGATAGCACATTTGTTAACAGTCTTAAATTATATTTGGATAGGTAATACCTATCTTTTGTCCAAAACTTTTTTTATTAAATGATTTATATCAACTAAATGAAATTTGTCATTATTATCATTACAATTATATGTCAAATTTAAATTATTGTTACATATTAAATTATTCATTTACATATTTAAATTATGTCTTAGATTATTTTCCTGTGGCAATCCCTGTATGGAAGGCAGTGTGAACAAGACAAATTTGTGTACATTTAAGTTATTAAGTTGCTCGATATATCTTAATACCTTTTACACTGCCTCTTCTACCATAAAAAATTACTATTGTACTATTTGGGCAAAGTTTAGTAACTATAATTTTATTTAGGACTAGCTTTTTACACGCGGCTTCGCTCGCGTGCGCTTGAATTTAGGGACATCATTAAATGCTGTTCCGTGTCAAATTTAGAAATATTCGATCACTTTTAGAGTCACCTTGGTAGACACCAATGTCTCTATGTCTGTCAGATATTTTTTTTCATTCTAAAATACTATTAGACGTCGATGATTGGTAACATGCTACAGAAACACGTGAATATACTTATAATATGTCTAGAAACTCCTACAATTTTTTATATATGGCGTGTCTTCCGATTCAAACTGTATTATTATTACTTACATTTTACTCTTTACATATATATATATATATATATATATATATATATATATATATATATATATATATATATATATATATTCATAGTTAAAGTAAATTTAGTTTTAACAAAGTAATATAATGTTTATTTGAGACATTTTATTCATATCATTGGTCCTATTTAATATTGATTGGCACCATAAAAAGATATAGATATTTTTATTTACTTCGAGTAGACTTGAAAATTTCATAAATACAGTTCTGTAATAATGAATACCACACATTAAAACTAATGTTACGGGTTTTTTACGCATCTTGACTCCTCACCGAATGAAAGCACCGAAGCTCCGGGAAGTCTAAAGTATATAAACATGTTTAGTATCGTCCCAACCATTATATACAACAAATTCTTCCAATAGAACACCGAATCCTACCAATGATGATTTGCGAGGTTATTGAAATTAAAAATATCCTAATTTTAATAGGGAAGATGGCTGAGTGCTACTATCTGCTAAGGACTCCATGATTAATAAAATTAAATTCAAACCACTACTGCATTTTACGAGACTATTCTATTTTAACTATGACATCAGGTCGTCAAACACCTCAGTTCTCCCAACCCTCCCGTGACCATGGGTGCTATAAATTGCCCAAACCATCGGGAATTTAAAAAGTTAAAATTAAACGCGAATAAAATCCTTAAAATTACTTTTATTCCTTATAAATTTTATACACAGTGAACGTGAGGAACACTACACTCATGAACGGGAGTAGAAAAATGTTCGCACTGTTGAAAAATAAACGATATGATGTGTTGGAAAATCCAACACATCATATTTACAATTTATGGGGGAGTCCTATGTTCATTTCAGTGGACTTTTGATAGGCTGACGATAATGAGTTCTACTCATCTTTGTAAGCCTTAATATTTACGGTAGAGTGAAAAAATAAATTATCATACCCGAAAACACGAATGAAATAGAAACTGCATACATTGCCCCATGAAAAGTAAAAAAGCAGCTTACATACATGCTGCT